CCCTCCTCCCAAATAATATAATAGGGCATTAAGTCAGGGTGGAGTACTGAGGTAGGGGTGGAGATGGGGGAGGGTTTTGAATATGATCAAAATACATTGTACATATGAAATTCTCAAAGAGTAAAAACAATCAACCAAAAAACTGTTCCACATTCTACGTGCCCATAGCAGAGATGGCAGTCCTAGCTGGAAGAGGACTGAGTCACCTCGCTGGTGAAACAAGGACACAAAATATAATGGAAAAGCAAAACTAAACAAAGCAACCCAAAGATGTACATCGTAGGTACTTCCCTAACAAAACAGCAAACCATAGGCCACCCACCAGATCAGGGGAGAAGAAGGTTGTACCTTAGCACTTCACATTTATATCTGCCAAGGAAGCCTGGAGTCACTACTCAACAGCTACCTGTACTGAGTGCTGAGACTGTCCTGTATCTTCTCAGGGCAAGATACTTTTTGCTGACACAGCGCCTATGATACCAGTGGAGTTGATACACAGGTCACTGAATTTTAGCAATAAAACATTTCATTTTACACTTTCAGATTGCTTTCTGCATAGGATTAACAGTACTCAATATTTTTACTTTTAACTTTTTTTCAGACCTCTATTTTATAGAAAAGTTCTCATGTTGGATCCATTCCTTTCTCTGTTAGAATTTCCTTTCTTAGCTCATGAAGATGATGCAGGCCCCTCTGAAGTGCACTAGGCTATGGGAAACATCAAAGAGGTCATTTATGCAAAAGTCACTTGAGATAAAGAGTTATGAAAATAACGTCTCTATGCTGATACCAACCATAAGGGATTAAGTCAGATTCCTCTGGGGTATAGAGCATAGAACTTCCTGGACTGTAGCTAGGTGATAAGACTGGCAAGGTTTCTGGGTAATCCCAGTGACAGAGGAAAAAAATGTAGAGACCTGAGGCTGGAAAGAATTCAAATTTTCTAGCCAACGGAATTATCTGAAGTATTTACTTTGAGCAAATTAAATCTGAAACTGGAGTGGGGCGTGGTGGTACACGCTTGTAACTCCTGGACTGGAGGTAGAGGATCAGGAATGGGTTACAGAAAACCCAGTCTTAAAAAACAAAAACCAAACCAGGTATGGTGGTCCTGGCCTTTAATCTCAGTGGTGGGGGTGGGGGTGGGGTGGGGTGTGTGACACAGAGGCAGGCAGTTCTCTGTGAGTTGATCCAGCTTGGAAACACAGCAAACTCCAGGCCAGCTGGTGCTATGGGGAGACCCTGTCTCAAAAAAATTAAAAATAAACAAACAACCCCCCCAACCAAACAAAACAGCAGCAACAACAAACAAACACCTGGGCATGGAGGTATATACCTTTAGTCCCAGCACTGTGGAGGCAGAGGCAGGTGAATCTCTGAGTTCCAGGCCAGCCTGGTCTGCACAGCAAGTTCCAGGCCAGCTAGTTTGCTACACAGTGAGACCCTATCTCAAACAAAACAAACATCTGAAGTTGGCCTTTGATTCTACCCACTGCCCAGGAGTCCATAGACTTAAGAAATCAAACACTTTTGACTGTGGATAAACACAAAATGACACCTCTTTGCTAAAAAAATTCCTTGGGTTCAACAAAATTATCACATTTCCTTTCAAAATTGTTGCATAGAAATTTCATAAGATTGAGTCCTCAAGTCTCAGCAATCTTTCTGAGAGGCGTCCTCAGACACCTGCTTCATCCTGTAACACAGCCCTATTAGCAGAAGTCTGAAAGCTTCTTTCCGATATAAATGACACTGAACTTAATTATCTTGTCTAACTTTTAATCTCTTATACGAAAATCTCACTATAGAGGCTGGTCTTTACTAAGGCTGCATGTTTTAAATGTGCATTCTAATAAAAATACATAAGTAGGGGGAAAAGGGTTACAATAGGAGGGGTCTGGAAAGAGATATATTCATTTGCCTTAAGATTTTTTTTTAATATTAAATTTCGTGTGTGTGTGTGTGTGTGTGTGTGTGTGTGTACTTGCTGGAGTTGGTTCTCTCCTATCCTATAGGTCTAGGGATCTAACTTAGGTCATCAGGCTTGGTGGCAGGCACCTTTACTGGCTGAGTCATTTTGCCCACCCCCTAACATGTAGTACTTTTGTTAAGAGGGTGTGAGAGAGCCAGTTACACAGAGTCCTGGGAAAATTAGATAAATGTGACACCTGCAAACAATGTCAGGGTCTCAAATACTTAACAGAAACCACAGGGTTAGAAAAAGTTCTTTTCTCTCAACCCACTAGGACAATGTTAAATGCATGCTAATAAGGTTTGGGTTTAAAAAATAGATAAATATGATTTTAGAAAAATTTAAAAAAGCACATTCCCTTTTAGGGATAACCAATTCAGCAAAATTTAACATGGCTTTTTAAACAGTCACGGAGCACCATTAAATATTCACACACACAAATATCCAGTCAGCAGAAGATCCTGTCGCCTTGGTCCCAGGTACCTAGCCGGCTTGAGGCAGAAGACACTCAGTGCACAGGGTTGGGGCCCACGTGGACGATGACGTGCTTCTCGTAAGCCCTTCGCATTGTTTTCTCGATCTGCTTCAGAAAAACCTGGGGAATTCGTCCGCAAAGGGTGTGTACGGTTTCCAGAAACTTCAGCTGGAGAGGGTAGTACATGGATTGAAAGAGATTGTCTTGAAAGGGAAACTGAAAGACCGCAAGGAAAAAAGAAAGAAAGAAAAAGATTGTTATTCAAGTGCTGTTTAAAACAAAAATCACTATTGCTAACAACACAGGGGAAGGTTACTTTAAGCATGGGGGCACAGTCTTCCTGGAGTGTTCTTAGACTTAAAAAAAGACTTTCGCCGGGCGTGGGATGCACTTGGGAGGCAGAGGCAGGCAGATCTCTGTGAGTTCAAGGCCAGCCTGGTCTACATAGTGAGTTCCAGGACAGCTGGGGCTACAGGGAGACCCTGTCTCAAAAAGACCAAAACAACAACTCCCCCAAAACTAAATCCAACTTGTTTCTCCCTTCCTCCCTCTCTCCCTCCCTCCCTCTCGCTCTCACTCTGTGTCTCATCCCAAAGAGGCAAATTTTAACACATTTTCCCAGAAAAACTTGAAGCAGGTTACATAAAAATATATATGCAATGCAGTTTAAGGGGTAAAAATAGTAATAAGAAATCAAAGACCAAAGGATTTGCCAACATGGGGTCAACTTTGGTGGCATAATGAAGGTTTACATTAGCTTTGGTTTTTTTTGTTGTTGTTGTTGTTGGAAAATCCTAATGAGTTTATTGGGCTAGCAGAGCATAGGGTGGGGGTTTATTTACAAAAAAGTGGGCACCCCCCCCCATTTACAGCTGCGTTGAAAAGTCCACATTCAAATATAGATCCTGTGACTTTCTGTCAGCCACACAAAATGGTCAGAGAGATGCCTCATGGCATTCTGTTTATATATCCTTAGCTCCTCCCCCACATGTAGCTAAGGCCGCCTGATTGAGAAGGGTAACTGACTCTCCATGGACTCCTTGATAAGTGTGGGAAGGCTGTTTCTTAAAAAGATTTTTAAGGGGCTGGAGAGATGGCTCAGTGGTTAAGAGCACTGACTGCTCTTGCAGAGGACCCTGGTTCAATTCCCAGCACCCACATGGTGGCTAATAACCATTGCCGCCAACACGGGTGCATTTACACATGTGCAGGGAATACACTCATACACATAAAATAATAGTAAATAAAATATTTTTTAAAAGATTTTTAAATTTGAAGCTGGGCATGGTGGCGCATGCCTGTAGTCCCAGCACTTGGGATGCAGAGACAAGTGGATCTCTGTGAGTTCAAGACCAGCCTGGTCTACATAGTGAGTTCCAGGCCAGCTGGGGCTACAGGAAGACTCTGTTTCAAAAAGATCAAAAAAAAAAAACCAAAACAAACAAACAAAAAAACATTTTAAGTGTATTTTTATTTTAGGCATAAGAGTGTTTTACCTGCATGTATGTATATGTACCACATGTGTGCAATGCCTGCAGAGGTCAGAAGATGGTCAGACCCCTGGAACTGGAGTTAGGAAAGGTTGTTAGCTTTCATGTGGGTGCTGGAAACTGAATGAACCTGGATCCCCTGGAAGAGCTGTTAATGCTCTTAACCACTGAGTCACCTCTCCAATCCTTAAATTTAAGTTTTAAGCCATTGCAGTGCAGCTCCATGTAATCATATGACCTCTCTGGGTCTCTCTCTCTCTCTCTCAGAGGGTCTCCTGTAGCCAAGGATGACCTTGAACTTCTGAGTCTCCTGCTTCTACCAGTGCACTGAGATTACCAAGTGTGCACCGCCATGCCTGGTTTCCTGTTCTTAGAAAACAAACAAAATCAAAAGATTTGCTAGGGTATTTGCTAGGGTACTTGAGGTTCTTCAAGTCTGAAAACAATACCTGTTTCAAAGGCTAGGACAAAGTAGAGTAGAATAACTAAATACGCATTTGAAATTTACTACAAAAAATCACAGAATTCTCTTCTTTTTTTCTTGCCATAAGATACTTCAGGCTATGTCTTTGTAATTGCAGAAAGCCCAGAGGTCAGCAATGACTAGTAAATTTTACTGGCAATGGATTTTTTTGATACTCTAGGTGTTAAAGAATGGACTCTACCTCCAGGTGTTGGCATGCCATTGTTTCCTCCCTTAAGAGTTAATTGAAGGGGCTAGAGAGATGATTCAGTAGTTAAGAGCACTGACTGCTCTTCCAGAGGACCTGGGTTTGGTTCCTGGCACCACATGGCAGCTAACAACCATCTATAATTTCAGCTCTAGGTAATCCAGTGCTCTCTCTGGCCTCTGTGGGCATTGCATGACACTGGTTCACTTACATACATGTAGGCAAAGCACACATATACATAAAAAAAAAAACCAAAAAAAAATTTTTTTAAAGAGTTAATCCAAAAGTGGACATCGTGCCACATGCCTTTCTTTAATCCCAGCACTAGAAAGGCAGAAACAGGCAGATGTCTACTAGCTTGATCTACAAAAGAGTCAGGATAGCCAGGACTATGTAGTGAGAGCATGTCTTCAGGGAAAAAGAGAGTTAATAACATCAGGTGGGTCCATGATGGGGCTAGGGTGAAGAAACTACACCCCAGGATGTGGGGGCTGCCCATAGGAAGGCAGGCTCACCTTAAGATGATGTCTTTTTCCTTCCCTCACCCCTCCTCCCCTACTGCAGTCTCTTACAGAGCCCTGCTGCTTTGCAAGTCCTCCTGCTTTTCTGAGTTATTCTGAAAAATCTAATTTTTCCTTTTCTTCTTTCAGTCTTGTTCTAAGCATGCTTTCCCTAATGCTTTGGGCTTCGCTCTTTCTCTAAAGCTCCCCTCTTTTCCACATAGCTGCTTGGCCCCCGTGTGTCTGACCTCCGTGCTGACTTAACTCAAATAACATGGCTTGGTTTCCTTTCCTTCTCCAGTTTCCTCTTCTGGGCAGTTGCCAAGATTGACATCTAGTCTGAACAAGGAGTTTTCTTTTAGACTCTAATAAAATTGCTCTTGAGCCAGGTGTGGTGGTGCACACCTTCGATCCCAGCACTCTGGAGGTAGAGGCCAGAGGATCTCTGTGAGTTCAAGGCCAGCCTGGTCTACATAGTGAGTTCCAAGCCAGCTGGGGCTACAGGGAGACCCTGTCTCAAAAAGACCAAAAAAAAAAAAAAATTCTTGAGCTTCCCTTTGAGTGCTTTCTGAGATAAATACATTAAATACTTATTTTATTTATTTATTTATTTATTTATTTATTTATTTATTTATTGGTCTCACTATGTAGCCCTGGCTGACCTGGATTAAATTATTTTATTAATGAGATTAAGAACCACAAGAGGGGACCCTGATTTCCCTGTTATCAAATGGTAACTATGAAGAGATTCCCTAAAGTTTCTAGTAACAAAGCACCAGGCTGGGAATGAGGTTCTGTGAAGAGCATCTGCTTTGTGCTGAGGCCCTGAGTTTGATCTACTGCAGAGAGGCGGGATTGGGTGGAAGTGGAGTATCAATGCACTGACAGTTTTGTTGTGGTTTTTATTCCACTGGACATCTGAGCCTTTTCTTGTTTAAAGCCTCTTGTTTTTCCGTGGAATTATGCCTATGATCAATATTTTCCAAAATCCTTTTCTGTCTGTTTGAATCTGTCCTTTCTAGTGACAGGACAAAACTGGTGGAAACCCTGAGGTCATCGTTCCTCCACAACCTTCAACCAGCCAACAGTAAGTCTCATAAACTCTATCTCCATAGATTGTGGCCCCTTCTCCCTATCTTCCCTCTCACATGCCTCCTCTGCCATGCCATCTGAGGGAAAATCAGCCTAGCACAGCTGAAGAAACTGACGAACTGACCACCCTGCCCCCACACACTCCAGGAGGGAGATACATCCACTTCAGAACATATGGCCCCCAGCAAAAGACATTTGGTTTCTTATCAGCCTTCTTGTAGATCTAGTTCCTTATCAAATTCCCTATCCAAACTCCACTTCTCTGCTTCCCTGATCCCAGGGAGGAGCATGACACCACCCCAGAAGGCATGCCCCTCCTTCTGAGATTCCAGGAAGTCAGGATGTCCTCTCTGGGATTTTCTGGGCCCACAGATAAATCCCAGACTACCTCCAACCCCACTGCCCCAATCTCCATTCCCTCAGGAAGGTTGCCTGCCCCTCCTAGCTAACAAAGCTAGCTGCATCTGTTGAAGGTGCGATTCTACTTCTTTATCACATCACCTTTTCGTGCCAAATTCTCAACCACCACCATTACAAACAGCCCTTTGTTCACCTCCTACATCCCTGACACCAGGTTACCAAGGTGACATTTTCTAGCATAAATCAGAGTTGTCACTTTCTTGTAGGGACTTCCTACTACAGTTAGACACACTTTAACTCCTCTCTGGTTTCAAAAGCTCCAGGTGACCTGGAACACAACCCCAATCATTTTCCCTCCTCTTATCTCCATGTTGGTAGGTGACCTTCTCCCTCTGCTGTGGACTCTCCCCAGGCTATACCCTCAGCTTAGTAGGAGCTTCCTGGGTTGCCTCATATTTGCCTCCATTCAACCAAGTCCCAGGATGGCAGGGGCCTTCCCTGACAACCTGGCTGAACACCATCTCTATACCCTAGAAGCCTCCACCCACCTCCTTGTTCTACTCACAACTTGAATACTTTTCATCATCTTATAGGATCTCCCTCCCTCCCTCCCTCTCTCTCTTTCTCTTTCTTTCTTAGAGACTTTCATATCATCTGGCTCCCCCTTATCAGAACAGAGTCTTCATGAACACTGGGCTTGGTCTCTATAGCTAGCCTCCAGATTCCCAGCAAGCAGAATTATTCCTGCATAACTGAGGCTTTTGTAGATGACCTTTGAAAGAATTACTGAGGAATTTCCATCTAGTAGATGACTTTCCCTGTATCTGATGGGAGCTAGATTGTACCTGCCCTTCACCCAAATGTATACACAGGGTTAGGCTGTGTGTGCAAGTGAGACAGAAAGAAAACAAGCTAAGGAAAGAGGAAAGCATGAAATGTTAATCATCAAAACAACTCCTACCTCTCGGAAACATTGCCAAGACAGGTACAGTAATAAAAGTTTAAAGTTTGCCGCTTTGCTAATTCTCACAACTGTTTTAATAGACAGATATTATTCTTTTTTAAAAGGTTGATTTTTATTTGTGTGTATGTGTGAGTATATG